GGGAATTCTGGGAGTTGAAGTCCACACATCTTAAAGTTCCCAAGATTGAGAAACACTGGTCTAAAGTAAGGGATATGTGTCCTTTAAACAATTAGGATTGTACATCTTATTTAGAAGAGTAGTTGTCTGATACAGTACATAATGTTTCTTGTTTACTGGCCAATGACCACTGCCATTTTCCCATATGTGTTTAGATTGGACAAACTTCATAGAACGTATTGGAAGGGTTATGGAGCTTAAGCACAGAAGCCCTCCTTTCTTCCTGGAACACCCTAGCATCAGCTGCAGAAGACCGCCAAGACACACACGCATACAACAGCGCAAGATCCGTAACAATACAAAGAGGAGAGAGTCAGAAGGTATGCGTAATTATTTTTGTGAATGCCAAATGAAAGTATCACAATCAAAGTGACCTGCTGGGGGAAAAGAAACTTAATTTATTATCATCATTTTCATATCTGTGGAATCTTGTAAGTGATTCAAAGATGTGAACCTGAAAGCTCTTTAGAGCTAAATCCAATGCTGTTATACTTGCCACCAGTTAAGATAAAATCTGCTTCCTTCTAGTTAGTTCTGTAATCTGCTCAGAAGCAGACTGCACCAGGAAAACCGGTTTCCTTGACCTACCACCTAGATGACCCCTGATCAATTTTTTCTAGACTCCTCAGTGACAGAACAGTTTCTGGTCCAACTTTAGATGAACTGCTTTAAAGAAAGTCAAGAAGATGCCTGTGCTTTAAAATGGCTAAGGCAATTCCCTTAGAGAAAAGTAATAGCATCTGGGGCTTTTTCACTTGAAGCAAAGATAGATAAGGGGATGCATGATAGAAGAGTATAAAATTATACATGGTATGGAAAATTTGGATAGAAACAAGGTTTTTTCCCTTCTCTTTCAACATTAGAACTCAGAGCCATCTGTTGAAACTAAATATGTTGAGAGTTCAGGACTAATAAAAGGAAGTATATCTTACATAATATATAGTTAAAAAGGGATTCACTACCCCCTTTAGCCAAATTTATAGCTAATAGTTTTGATGACAGGCAGCATGCCTAAATACCAGCTACTGGGAAGCAACATTGGAGGAGGGCTATTGCTGCCCTGGCCACGTTTGTAAATTTTTAGAATATTCTTGGTTGACTTTTGGCATCTAATGTTGGATTAGATGGGCACATGGACTTTGAAACTATGATTTCAAAGCTGAAGGCATCAATCCACACTCCAAAGAAGACTTCAGATAACCTCATCTTTGTTATAATACCTTGTAAAACCTGGAACCTTACATCAAATATACTTGCTTCTGACTTTTTGTTTTACCTTTTACAAGCCTTTTAAACTCACCAATGACTGCAAAGTTTTTACTAGAGCAAAAGGATAGCTCCCCACCCCTACAAGTAGCATCCAATGATACAGAATGAGAAGTTTATTTATTTACATATATTTCCATACCACCTTGTTCCCAAGACTCCAGATGGTTTACAAAAATGTGGAATATGTTATAAGAAAATATATCTGGCAGATCATATACAAATGATCAGAAAAAAAAGATCATAAATTAACTATAGCCATTATTCTGTGCCTACTGTAATGTGTTGCTTGAAACCTAGGCTGATAGGAAGCATCTCTCTTTCCTACTGATGGTCCTTTGGCAATATTTTAGGATGAAAATATTCTGTCAATATTAGAACAAAAACAGACACATGCATTATCCACCACAAATATATTTCAGTCTAAATTCTCAAATATTAATAATTTGGAAGCATCAACAACTTTAAAATAAGTCTTCTTTAGAATGTTTCTGTGTCTGTCTCCCTGGGAATAAAGCACTTCAGATGATCTAACTAATGACTATAGTTTGAGATTTCTCATACTGAAGAATAACCAGTAAACAATTCAAGAGGACATCAAAACATAATATCTCTCCTTAGCTTTAAGTGAGACATCTGTCCCATAAAGTTCAATAAACAAATACATAATATTAGAAATTGTGTTGTCTTCTCTTGGCACAATAAGCTTATGATATGATCCTACATTTTCTTAGAAGTTCCCCACTGACTTTAATAGGACTTACTTCCAAGTAAGCTTGCATAGGATTATGCTGTAAAATGCAAGCTGAACTACTAAAATTGATTGAAGACATCTGATGAGGGAACAAAATGAAAGAATACAATTATCACATGAACTCTTGGTTACACAACACCATGTGTAAGAACTGTCATTTACACATCTGAAAAGCAAAGGTCAAGAACAAGCAAACACAGCAGTACCTACACGTCATCTGACTTATTTATTGCTTGAACAAAATACCATCCAGAAAAAGCTTACAGGGGCTTAGGAAATCTATCTTCTCAAGTAACACACAAATCCATGCAGAGAGCATGAAGCAAATAACTACTCAGGTTTCAGACATGAAAATAACTTCTTAAAACCTAGTCATATTAAGCTGAAGATAACTTTTTAGCTTAAGCAAGCCCCAAAGTCATCTTTCTCTAAAACTATATTGGAAAAAACATGCTAATGTAAATATATTGTAGAACAGGAACAGGTAAGGTGGTATGTGGTTCTTCTGATTCCTTTTCTGGCCCCAGGGCCCTCTCCCCAAATCATCTGCCTGAAGTTTAGCAGCAAAAATCACAAAATTAATGACAAAATGATTTCCCACTTATTTTCAGTGGGGAATAAAATAAAATAGATGTATTAAGCTATAAGAAGGCATAGCCCCTTTCCCACCAACCTCTATAAAATCTGATTTAATTCCAGCCTCCAATGAAAGAAAAATGGGGGAGGGGGGAATATTGACAATTCCACTGCTCTGGTGATGTCATCTGTCATCATCCCATCCATTTTGGCTTTCACTGGAAACTGTAAGATGATGATGACGACGATGACGATCTCTCAACTGCAGAAGGTTGCCTGTCCCTGTTGTGGCAAGTGAAATGAACAAAGGAACTTTTTTCCAATTCCAACAACAAATGTGTTAAATTGGGAGAAATATACATTAAGAAGTTTGAAATGTGGTAAATATATGCAGACCCTTTAGGGCAGTCTAGGTTTAAATATTCATCTGGGAGCTACTGGCAAGAACTACACTCAGGCAAGTAAGTCTGTTGACAGAACAGCAAAGCTGAGTTTTATCCCTGCTGTAGCCACTCCAGAACCCAGGCTCTCTTCCTCTTGGCTTAGCATTGAAATTCTGAAAACTGCTAAAGGAAAGAGAAAGCTCTCTACCTCTTTTCTGTTAATCCAAGACAGACTAGTAAATTCTGTAGGCTTATTTACAAGGCTGGATTAAAATGCAAGTGTCATTTTGTAATTGGTGACTACTGTAGTACTACAGACAACAAGATGAAAGGGTCTATATTTGGGCTGATCATGCTTAACCAAAAGAAATGGGAGAAAAATACAATAGTGCAAAAAGATCCACCGATACCTAACATATGCAGTGATAAATAAGCTGCAATAAAAATTAAGAATTCTTGTGATTATCCAAGCATCTCTGGGTTAATGAAGGAGTATGATCATATGCATAGAAAACACAATCACTGTGATGTAATGTTAGGATGGAGGAAACTCAGGCTTAAGTCTTCCTTCAGCCATGGAAGCTCCCAGGATCATTTCTCTTATCTTAATTTATCTCACAGGATTGTGGTTGTGGGGATGGGGGGAACCTGGGAGAGGATGTTATGGATGCCGCCTTGAGCTCCTGGAGAAAAGTCAGGATGTAAATGTAGCAAATAACTGAAATTAATAAATTAGGTTTCATTCTGCATCTGTCACATGTATTTCAGTCACTTCAAAGCTACAGCGAAGAATGAATGAAGAGTTCTACATATGTTGGCAGTGTGATGCAACCTCTGGTTCACACAACATACTAAAGGAATGGTTTGATCTCTGCAATGTGTTGAGCCCCAGTCTATCCCACCCATTGGGTTG